CAGAGTTTAGGAGGCTGAAGGGGAGGAGGACGAGGGCCTGGGGAAGAGGCCCATTACTCCTCCCCTTGAGTGCTGCTAAGAGCGTGTTTGCTTCTGTTCAAGCACTGTGTGGTTGTGCTTCTCTGTCAATCTAATCCAAACAGACTCATGAAGCCCAAGACTGACTTGAGAAGAGCAGTGCGTTGCTTGCTGTACCGAGTACTGAAGAGATGAGGCAAAGGAAGGATTCTGAAGGTAGAAATGAGAATTACATAAAATATGTTTAAAGTCTAGCCACGTTAATTAATAACCATGGTGAGTGACCATGGTGACATTAGTCAAAGGTGGCCCAGGCAGTTCCTGGGCAGTTAGTTGTTGCAGAAGTACTTTTTGGAAGGTTGTTTTTTCAATCTGGTCATGTGATTATGGTGGTCTCTTGACATCTGCTATCAGGCAGTTAAGTAGAAGAACCTTTTCTGCATAACTTCCTGACTTTTAAAAATACAATTGAAGAGATTTATTTATTTTTATTACAAAGTCAGATATATACAGAGAGGAGAGACCGTGAGAAACATCTTCCATCTGATGATTCACTCCCCAAGTGAGCGCAACGGCTGGTGCTGTGCCAATCCAGAGCCAAAATATATGGTAAGGTAGGCACAGACTGGTTTTTATGCTAACAACTTTAACATTCCCTTCATAATTTTTATGATTTTCTAAAATAAATGTTGAAATTAAAAAAAAAAAACCAAGTAGACAACTTATTAGAGAAAACCTTTGTAATACATTCATAAATTGTTAATGTAGTCATAAGACCCCACACTGCCCTGTCATATAAAGATAGCCACCAAGTCACTTAGTTTGGCCTGGTTTTGAACTCTATATAAATATAAATCATATAGTATGTAACCTTGGTATGACCTCTTTTGGCAAAAATTTCTTTTTTGAAATTAATCAATGTCATACTTGCAGCTTATGTATCAGTGTTGTTAACGGACGTTTGTTTCAGCCTCAGTCTATTCAGAATAGTGCTACATGAAAGTTCCTGCGTCTGTCTTTTACTCTACATGTACATATCTTGCTTGCATATATACTCAAGACAGCAAGTGCTGCATCATAGGTAAAACACATATTTAGCTTTAGAAGGAATCAGATCTTCAGAATTGAGTCAAAAGGGACATACAATGTTAATACGTAAGGAAAATAAGACAAAAACTGCCATATTGAGAAAGACTGCACCTCTTCCCCAGTCAGATCCCTTGAGAGCCTTTTCTGGTATTCAAAACAATTTTTCACAGGAAAGGAGAACAAAAAGTAAAAATAGAAAGTGCTATTATATTTTATAATTTGAGAACTGAGTCATTTTTCTAAATTTCTAAAAAGTCATTCAGTTGGGGCCTGGCGCAGTGGCCCAGTGCCATAATCCTTGCCTTGCATGCACTGATGAGCATCGGTTCTAATCCCGGCAGCTCCTCTTCCCATCTAGCTCCCTGCTTGTGGCCTGGGAGGATATTCTGGGGCCTTGGGACCATACACCCATGTGGGAGACCCAGAAGGTCCTGGCTCCTAATCAGGTCAGCTTTGGCTATTGTGGCCACTTGGGGAGTGACCCAGCAGATGGAAGATCTTTCTGTAAATCTGCCTTTCCAATAAAAATAAAATAAATCTTTTAAAAATTTAGGGGGCACTTTTCTGATTGCCTGCAACTCTCACTAGTGAGCATGACAACCAGGGCTGGGGGCGGGCTTGGCTAGACAGGCAGGGGACCCATCAGCATGAGCGCGGCCTGATAGAGGGATCAGTTTGGCTGAGCTAGGCTCCAGTGCTCATTGATGTGAACAAGATTTGAATAGGATGTAGGACAGAGTGCACCAGTCTGCTGCACTTACTGGCATGCATAGGAACCAGGACTGGGGGCAGGCCTAGTGGGGGCTATTAGGAGTTACTCCAACTAGCCTGCAGTTCCTTCTGGTGAATGTGAGGGCAGAGAATTTGGTGGGCTGGGTTGTGCTGTGCCACATCTATTGGCTTGCGTATGAGGCGGGGCTGGTGACAGAATTGACCAGGTGACTGCAACAACCAGTATATGTGTAGGCTGATGTATGATGGACTGAGCCAGACCCCAAACTGGCTGACACACACAGGAATCAGGTTGGGGTCTGAAGCCTGCAGAGTATGTCTAGTACCACAGAGGGCAGAACAAATTGGACAACTCTCCTGGCTAAGTATCTAAGTGAATTGAGACTCAAGGTGAATTATGTCAGCCAATGGACCTTGGAAAGATTTCCTAACCTTGGAGCAACTAAATCAACAACATCTCAGAACTATCAAAACCACTTAAGCAGTATCCTCAGAACATAGTCCACATCAGGAACCCTAGGATGACATTGGGTGGCTGTCCCCCATTCCTGGGTACTAATGTGGTTGGGTTGCTGGGAGCAGCCCTCTCCTCTTTTCTCTATATTTCCCTCAGATACCACAAGAAAATTATTTGAGGCAGCTATCTCATCCATTCTCCCATTCCTTGACCCTCCTCATCCTAATTGGTGGTCCACATGGGCATGTGTACCTCTCAACTCTAAACATCATTTAAACATCTATTATTACAAATAAAATAGGACCCAGCGTGGTAGTCTAGTGGTTAAAGCTGTCGCCTTTCATGCACCAGGATCCCATATGGGCACTGGTACATATCCTGGCTGCTCCACTACCCTTTCCAGCTCCCTGATTGTGGCTTGAGAAAGTAGTAGAGGAAGGCCCAAAGCCTTGGGACTCTGCACTGGGTGGGAGACCCGGAAGAAGCTCTTAGCTTCTGGCTTTGAATGGGCTCAGCTTCAGTCATTGCAGCTATTTGGGGAATGAACCAGTAGATGAATGATCTTTCTGTCTCTCCTTCTCTCTGTAAGTCTGAGTTTTCAATTAAAAAATACATCTTCAAAAGAAAAAGTAAAAATAAATTTTAAAAAGGGAAACTGCTTTGGTTCAATAATTGTGACATACATACATTAATGTAGTGTTAATAAAGGAAGCTGGGTGTGGTTTGTACATTATGGGAGATCTATCATAGTAATACGAGATGTTTACATTAGGGGAAGCTGAATGTGGGCTCTTTGGAAACTATTACTTCAGAAAACTAGTCTGAAACAAAAAATTTAAAAGTAGTTTTTATTTTATTTGATGCAGATCTGTAGTGATCCAAATCATGGAAGGGCTATCATGGTTTCATTTTTCACTTCTATCCTGGTACTATTATGGTGTATTTAAATTCTCACAATTTATAGTCTTGTATTTTTGTTTAGGATGGACAATCTTATTCAAAATTTCCTACATTCTTTATAAGACTGTCTTTCTCCATTTGCTGATAAGCAGGTACTTATCATGGTTAAGTTTTTCCATAAATAAGAACCTGAAGAAAATAATAATTCTGATGGCTAATATTAATGAGGAAAGTTACAGAATCCATACAAGTACCCTAATTGTGCTCATATTACCATATGTGTATCATATATGTATATAAATGATCTGGGAAGAGTCAACTTGTTCACATAGTAGAGAAACTGAGGTCAGCATGTTGGTCAAAAAGAAGCACAGCTGAATCTACAATGTATAAACCTGCAAGTAACAGAACCCCACATTATCTCTGAATTGAAGGATAAACAAGGTGCACACATACAAAAGGTATCAGTAGGACTATTTATAATGGCAAAATGTCTAGCATTTGACAAAACAAAGGTTTGAAAAAGACAGGTGTATAATCTAAAGCCAATAAAATATTGACAGTGTATTGTACAGAAAAAGATATTAAAGCCTGGTTATAGTAATATCATAATTACACTTTCTTTCCAACATGAGATAAGTCATAAAGGGTTTGCTCCAAGTTTGACAGTGACTATCCATGATTGCCAAGACTAACGTAAGCATATCTATTTTTATGTTTTTAATCTACATTTTATGGATGGGAAGTTGTTTCGTAAAATGAAGAATATATTTATAAAAGAAAAATAAAACAATCTTTCAAAACAAAAGGTATAGACCCATCAGATAATGAAAGATACTTCAAAGCAACAGCTATCTACCATAAACAGGGCAACACAGTAACCAAATGGGTGCAATTTCAAAACTATTGAACTGCTACTCAAGCGTCATGAACAAAAATATAACTTACCATCAAATAGCCAAAGAAAACATGAAAGTAGATAGTTATTGAACAGTGAATGGTGTTCGGATGAGGACTGGGGATAGGAAATAACAGATTTTCAATAGTTAAATTTATTTCAAAATGGATCAGTAATTTTGTATAATACATACACAAAAAATTTAAAAATAAAAGTAGAAAAACTAACAAAATTAGCTTTCAATGCTTAAAGGAAAAATACAGTTAACATGTTTTTAAGAATGTTTAGTGTTTATAAGTAAGACTATTTTGAAAATAATAACAAAGGAGTGTAGATAATGATCTTCAAAGACTTTAGTTGGAGTGATTCTTTTCCTGTACAACTTTCTTAGCCCGATTAACACATGAAAAATAAGTACAGCATTTGCCCCTGAACTACATTTGAAGAGACTGTCATTGGTGTGATTCTTCTGTCATGTGTTGAAACTCCTTTCTTAATCACCTAATTTCAGTTCATAAGTTTCAAATTCACGGAACAATGAGCTTTCTTATGTTGCTGAAATTTCTGAACATCTCTGAAAAGTCTTTCCATATTCCTTGCATTCATAAAGTTCCTCACCAGTGTGAACTGTCCGGTGTTGAGTAAGGCTCCAGATACCATGAAAAGCCTTCCCACATTCCTTACATTCATAAGATTTCTCACTAGTATGTATTCTCTGGTGCCTGTTAAGAGCTGAGCCACTATTAAAAGACTTTCCACATTGTTTACATTCATAGGGTTTTTCACCTGTATGAGTTAGCTGATGTTGGATAAGTTTTGAGCCACTACCAAAAGTCTTCCCACATTCCTTACATTCATAGGGTTTCTCTCCAGTATGAATTCTCTGATGTTGTATAAGATCTGAACTACCACCAAAGGTCTTGCCACATTCCTTGCATTCATAAGGCTTTTCCCCAGTGTGCATTCTTTGGTGCTGAATGAGTTTTGAACCACTTCTAAAGGCTTTCTCACACTCCTTACACTCATAGGGTTTCTCACCAGTGTGAATTCTCTGATGCTGAGTGAGGTCTGAGCCACTATTAAAAGCCTTCCCACATTCCTTACACATGTAAGGTTTCTCACCAGTGTGAATTCTTTGATGACGAGTCAGGGCTGATCCAAAACTAAAGGTCTTCCCACATTCATTACATATATATGGTTTTTCTCCGGTATGAATTCTCTGATGCCGAGTGAGAGCTGAACCACTACTAAATGCCATGCCGCATGATTTACATACATAAGGTTTCTCACCAGTATGAATCCTCCGATGCTGAGTAAGGTTGGAACCACTGCCAAAAGCTTTCCCACAATCTTTGCATTCATAAGGTTTCTCACCTGTGTGAATCCTTTGATGCCGGGTGAGGGCTGATTCAAAATTGAATGACTTCCCACACTCCTTACATTCATACGGCTTTTCACCACTGTGAATGATCTGATGTCGAATAAGGCCTGATCCAAAACTAAAGGCTTTCCCACAATCCTTACATTCATAGGGTTTCTCACCAGTATGAATTCTTTGATGATGGGTAAGGTTGGAGCCACTACCAAAGGCTTTGCCACACTCCTTACATGCATAAGGCTTCTCACCAGTGTGAATTCGCTGATGATAAGCAAGGTTTGCACCACTACCAAAAGCCTTGCCACATTCTTTACACTTATAAGGTTTCTCACCAGTATGAATTCGCTGATGTCGAATAAGGACTGACACAAAACTAAAATCCTTCCCACATTCTTTACATTCAAGGAGTTTCTCTTCACTATGATCGGTCTGATGCTGGGTCCTGAAAGTGGACATGTCTTCAGTAAGTATCATTTGACTGAAATGTCCTTCCTGAGGTATCTCTTTTCTCTCAAACTGGCTTTTACATTCCCAATCGCCTCTGAAACTTGAACACTCAATGTTGTGTTTTGTAAGTCTTTCCATTATCTCCCTCCAGGATGATTCCATAAATATCCTTTCTTTTCAGAAATAATTTCTTGTTCTCAACCTTGACTCATAGTCTGAAAGAAAATATAAGAGCAAACATTCACTTTTTTTGTGTTCTGAAAGAAATGAAACTTTTATCGTAGATATGAAAGATGTGATTGAAATTAACTCTCATAAAAAGTGAGTGACTTATACAGGACTCAAATTTGATTGGGCAATTTGAGAAGCCGATAAGGATAACAGAACAAGAAAATGTCCCATTGTAAAAGGAGATATTTAGGAAAACAGATTAGGCCAATTATTCCTAAACAATGATTTAGATAAAATGTCTGTAGATTTTTTTATTTTTTTATTGGAAAGGCAGATATACAGAGAGGAGAGACAGAGAGGAAGATCTTCCGTCCCATGATTCACTCCCCAAGTGAGCACAACGGCTGATGTTATGCCGATTCGAAGCCAGGAGCCTCCTCCGGGTCTCCCACACAGGTGCAGGGTCCCAAAGCTTTGGGCCGTCCTCGACTGCTTTCCCAGGCCACAAGCATGGAGCTGGAAGGGAAGCGGGGCTGCTGGGATTAGAACCGGCGCCCATATGGGATCCCGGGCGTGCAAGGCGAGGACCTCAACCACTGTGCCATCGCCCGTCTGAAGATTTAGAGAGCTTCATAGATATACAGATGTCTTTTTCCCACCTGATTTTTTTTTTAGAGGATGAATGCAGTTTCACATACACTTATGTGTTATCAGGATCACAATTTCATAAGTTTCACTGGAAAAATAAACAAATATACTCTAGAGGAAAAAAGCCAGGAAAGATGGTCAAATAACAGAATTTGCATATAACCTCCATGAGGCAGAAAGGTATGTAGCAGGTTTCATATGAGAAACTAATGTGTTGAGTATAGAATGAATAATGGGGAAAGGAATATTCTGCATTAAAAACAAAATTTGTTTATATCATTTGAATAAAAGCTAGATTTTCTTATAAAATCTGAATTAACCTCACAGGAAAGAAAAAAGGGTAGTAGAATAATTAACAATGTACCTTTAAATCCTAGAGAAGTGACGAGAATAAAGGGGTTACTTCAATATTATCAAAGATTGCAAGAATGAAAACAAATGAAGACACCGAATTTCAGCTCTGGTAATCAAAGAGTGATTCTGAAATCTCATATAAGATAACCTTGGACCCCATATGGGATCCCGGCACGTTGAAGGTGACGACTTTAGTCATGAGGCCACGCCGACGGGCCCTGGATTGTAATCTTAAGGTAGTGCATTTTCAAGGTCTGTGGGCATCGTAGCAGGTAACTAATCCTAAAAGGAAGTGAACACGGAACGCCCTCGTTTTACAGCCAGTTGGTCTGAAGCAGCAGGACGTTTACCGAGGACCAGCGGGCTCCTAACTGAGGTCTGACACTAGTTTGGTGCTGGACTGGGATTTGAATGCATCAGATGGGATTAAGATAGCATGCAATCTTCACAGACTGGAAAACAACATTAATAAAACAGCAGTGTTCCCCAATTTGCATCAAGACTTTAGTGGCCTTCAGAGAAATGACAAAGCCAACTGTCAAATTCATATGGGACTGGAATGAGTCCTCAAAAGCCAAAATAATATTGAAAAAGAAAAACCAGGTAAGCTCACTTTTCCCACCTCAAACTTATTAACACAAATCTAAGGTAATCAAAATAGTGAGATACTGTTTTAACAACAGAAATATACATCAATGAAATAGAACTAGGGCGGAGTCAGGGTAAGTCTGAGCAGTGGCACGGGTGTCTGGATCCCCAAGCCATGGGGGTACCCGTGTTGGCCCAGGCTTCCTGCATGGGATCCTAACTTCCCATCCACTGCTGCTAGGCACAGGGAGTGTCCTGGGCTCATGGGGGGGCAGAGCGCCAACTGGCGTCAGGCTTCATCTGCTGGCTGCCCAGTGGCAAGCCTGGGGGTCGTGGGGGTACAGAATTACTGCCTAGAGATCTCCATGGATAAGGCCATTGTATGTGTAGGTGAGGAATGAATCCTGAGGGACACCCAACGACAGAGCCACTGTACTTGCAGGTAAATGAGGGGACTGAGACCTGGTAGTTTGGAGGGGAGAGACCTGAAGATCTCTATGGGTCAGACTGATGCAGCAGCTCACATTCGAGTCCTGGGTTGGGCCTGTTAGCATGGAGCATGGCTGACTACCACACGCCAGTGCACATGCAAGCTATGGCTGTGGGCCTGTCTGGCAGTGAATACCTGGGCAAACGGAGACTCTAAGGTGGACTACGTCAGCCAGTGGAATCTGGAGAGATTTCATCATGATTGGAGTGGCAAGATTGGCAGCAATACAGAACTCAAAATCACTTCAGCAGTACCCTCGGAGCATGCCACACATCAAGGACCCTGGGGTGGCCGGGAGGCTGGGTGTAGTATCTCCTTTTGTCTCCCAATTTCCCCCCAGATACAGGAAGGAAAAAAGAGAATGTCAAAACAATGGTTTCACCCACTTTCTTCTAGCCCTTGACCCTTTGTACCTTAATCAAATATGTAAAAATTATGAAAAAGAAAATTTATCCAACTAAAAAAAAAAACCTTGGGACCCTGCACCCGCGTGGGAGACCTGGAAAAGCTCTGGCTCTTGGATTCAGATTGGCTCAGCTCTGGCTGCTTTTCATGAACTCCAACAAGATGATTCTACAACTCAATATGCAACACTAAATGATCAAGACACTCCTTAAAAATAAACTGAAGAGATTTGCTTGATCAGATATGACTTATTATAAAACAAATAATTAATTGACTAAAGCACTGGCACAGCAATAGAAAAATAAAATATGGCACATAACAAAAAGCCATAAATATATTCATATGGGCCTGGAGGTGTTGCCTAGCGGCTAAAGTCCTCACCTTGAATGCGCCAGTATCCCATATGGGCACCGGTTCTAATCCCGGCAGATCCACTTCCCATCCAGCTCCCTGCTTGTGGCCTGGGAAAACAGTCAAGGACGGCCCAAAGCTTTTGGACCCTGCACCTGTGTGGGAGACCCAGGAGAAGATCCTGGATTTTGGCTTCGAATCGGCATAACATCAGCCGTTGTGCTCACTTGGGGAGTGAATAATCGGACGAAAGACCTTCCTCTCTGTCTCTCCTCCTCTCTGTATATCTGATTTTCCAATAAATAAATAAATCTTTAAAAAAAAAAGAAATATGAATTAGGACATCTGGTTGGGATCCAGATGAAACTGACAAAGAAGACACTTGGAATTCTCTTACCAGGAATAACTGGCAGTGTGGTATTTAACAGACTAATTTCTGAGTGAAAACCCTAACATCACCAGGACTAGCATCTTCAAAGGGGGTGATCATCCCCCCCAACCCATTAGAATCCTTCTGTAGCCACTAGATTTATGCAGATCCAATCTCAGCATGATACAGGGGGCACGCATACTGTGTGACCCATGAAGATAAAACTTCCTTACTGTATTAATTTGTTAGCTCTGTAATAACATATATACAGGTAGGCTTATACAGGCTTATACAATGGACATTTGTCCGCTCAAGATCCTAAATATCTGGTTTCTTCTGGGGCCTCCTTCCTTGGTTGGCAGATGGTCACCTGTTCTTGCCTGCATGTGAGCAACCTTGATATTTTTTCATGTGTCCAAATTTTTCTTTTTCTTTTAAAGACCCTAGGACTTGAGCCATACTCTATTGCTTTCCCAGGCCACACACAAGGAGATAGATTAAGTACAGCAGCCGGCACTTGAACCGGTGCTAACATGGATAGCTGGTGTTGCAGGTGGAGGACTAACTTGTTGAACCACTGCGCCAGCACCCTAATTTTTTTTTTTTCTTGTAAGAATATTAGTCAGATTGGGTCAGAGCTCATTTAAATATGCTCACTTTACATTAACCATCCCTTCAAAGGCCTTATTTCCAAAGACAGTCACATTCTAAAGTGCTGAGGTTGATGTTCTTCAACACACAAATTTCAAAGTACACAATTTAGACCCTGACACTAACCAAACAAGGAACAAAATGTCACTGCTGTAGCTGTACTTTTTGTATTATTGTAACAAAATAATACTACATTGAAACATAATTTCAACATATCAATTCTTGTTCTAGGGATTTTACATGAACCAACTCCCTCTTGGGACCAACCCTATTATATGAGCACTTTCTATCATATATCCCATCTTTTGGTTGTCAGTTGTGACCCTCTTTATATAGATATATTTTAAGCAATAAAACAAGATCTAACACACACTTACATGTGTACATATTTAAATGCATACAACAAAAGCTGAAAAAGCACTGATTTTCAGCTAAACTTGAAAAGACTGAGGGACTGTAGTCACATGGACTTCAGCCTATGTAGAAGAAATGAATCATTTTCACACACAAAAAAAACATGAATTACCTATCTAATTATAATTTGGGTAAAAAAATAAAAACACACTAGGAATGTATATTATTTATGTCAATAATTTATACTAAACTACAGTCAACATAAGGGGTTTGATAAAATGGTAATACCAAAAAGCCATGACAACTCAAAACAAAGATACATGTTAATGACAAAGGCAGTTGTTGAATCATATTTTGGCAAGATAAAGCCTAGTAATAGGATAGTAGCCACAGAATGATCTCATTAAAAAGAATTGTATTTATGCTAATGACTTGACAGCAGTTATCTTTAAATCACAAAATTACAGTAACTTTTATTTTTTCCTTAAGTTTTCTGTAACTGCCAGGGGCTTGGAG